AAATAATGAGAAATGGTTTATATCATGGAGCTACTAATCACCCTGATTTAATCATTGCGCATTGTATTCTTGTACTGAAAAAATCACATTCAGTGCAAGAATATGGTATGTATTATAATTTATTGTGTGTCAATGAAAAATTGATTCTACCCCTGCTCAAAAGCCCCTAATGAAGACAATAGGCTTCTGAAATCTCTAATAATATCTACCAATCTTTATGGAACCGCGTATCTTCACAGAAGTCTATGGAGGTTGAGTTAGTGCAAACAGTTTGACTTTTTCACTACCCCATTCAACCACCCTTGGCCAAATCTCACATCCTGGAGTTTGTAATTGACAGCTTGTGGTTGACATTTTATGGAGGAGGGTGGGGTATAATGTTTTGATTTTTTTTTTTTTTTGGGAGAAGCTTTTGCTATAAGGTCTGTGCGCTCACCAGGAAGACAGAGACTGAGAGACAGAAAGCAAGAAATCACCCTCCAGCAGGGATGGCCACGCCGCAATTCCTTCTCCTCCATTCTCCTCTCGGGATTTTGGGCATGCACGCACACGCGCCCGGCATGAGTTTAAGCCACCAGGTCTGGGACTTGAACCGTGGTCGGCTACATGAGAGTTCAGTGACATAGTCATTATGCTAACTGCTGGTCCTGTTGTTTTGATTTTTAAAGGTATTTTTCTAGTTGCATAAATAAGGAGATAAAAACACTTCCCCTACCCCCAAAATTTTCATTTGCTGTGAAATGAACTTTTCCAACTGTGGTGACAAGCCTCAATCTAGAGAACTGGGAAATATTTCTCATTTACATTCATTAATCTCTTTTAGTTGGTCTTGGTTCCCAACAGACCATCAAGTTATCACTAACCATCCCACATGCATTCATAGTTGTATTTATAAACTGTACCAAGTTTCCTTTCTGACTCAAAGCCCTTATTATTTAGCATCATGCAGGTGCTCATTAGGTGGCTTAAACTCACGCCAGGCGCGTGTGTGTGCGTGCCCAAGATCCCGAGAGGAGAATGGAGGAGAAGGGATTGCGGCGTGGCCATCCCCCCCCCGGGGGGGGGGGTTACTCGCTTTTTGTCTCTGTCTCTGTGTTTCTGGCAAGTGCACTCGCCCTGTAGCAAAAACCTCTTCCCCCCCAAAAATTGCATTCTAACCCATGGGCTATCGGCAACTCTTCAAGTTTATCAGGTGAAGTTACTAAGAGTATTTTGTACAACGCAGCATTTTCAATAAGGCTGTTAAAATGCCTGTGGCCTGGGACTTTCTAATCATTATTACTGTTATTAGGATGATGAGCACGTGGCTTAGAACTTTGAAACTCTAGTTTGATTTGTAATCCTGTGTTGTAATTAGGGAGCGTTGAAGAGTAATTAGGAGATAGTTTAGTCAGCTTTCCTACTTAAATAGCTATTTTTCACACATACAATTTGAATAAATTGTAGTAAAACACACATAACAGGAATGAAAGCGTCGCAAGATGGTGGTGGTCAGGGCCGACGTGTGAGGAGGATATGGAATATTACCCTGTAAAATGGAAAGGACGGCCAGATTCTACAAATACTTGGGAACCTTGGCAAAATTTTAAGTGTCCATTACTGCTCCAGCAATTTTCTAAAGACAAGCATAATGATTTATGTCAGGTAAAGAAAGGCAAAGCAGTAACTTCTTCAGAAGACAATAATGATGGGAATCAGCAGTTAGAGTAATGGCTATGTCGCTGGACTCCCACGTAGTCGACCGCGGTTCGCATCCTGGACCCGGTGGCTTAAAACTCACGCCAGGCGTGTGTACGTGCGTGCCCAAGATCCCGAGAGGAGAATGGAGGAGAAGGGATTGCGGCGTGACCATCTTCCCTGGGGGGGTGATTTCTCGCTTTCTGTCTCTAATGTCTCTGTCTGTCTGGCGAGCGCACATGCCCTATAGCGAAAATCTCTCCAAAAAAAAGAGAAGACAATAATGAAACTTTGAAACGTGCCATGGCTGAGAACCTTGTACAGAAAGCTAAACAAAGGATCTCTCTGCAGAGATGGCAAGACGAACTCAACAGAAGAAAGAATCAGGAAGGAATGCTATTTGTTGGAAATACTGTTGACTTAGAGGGTCCACCCTCAGACCCTCATGTTAATGAATACAAACCAGCTCCTAGAATCAGAAGCTACCTTTGGTTGTTCTTGGACAGATTGCTTCATGGAGAAATGGCTGAAGCTGGAGTTCCTTTGACTTATCATTAAATGCAACAAATTAAAATTCCGCCTGGAATCCCCCATCTATGAATGCAACTCGAGGTGTCAATGTGGACCTGGTTGTCCCAACAAGATTGTACAAAAAGGCACACAGTACTCACTCTGCAGCCTTCGAACTAGCAATGGCTATAGCTGGGAAGTAAAAACCCCTGTGAAGATGAAAAGAATGAGTTTGGTCATGGAACAGTTGGAGAGGTCATCCCAAGTGAAGAAGCTGAAAGAAGAAGGCAGTTAGGGGACCAGCAGGTGGTGTGGTGGTTAAGGCGCTGGACACTCCCACATGGCCGAGCAGGGTTCAAGTCCTGAATCTTGCTTTCTCATTTCCTCTCTCTCACTCTCACCCTCTGTCTCTCTCTGGTCAAATTAAAAAATAAATGAATGAATAAATAAAATAAAATATAAATAATTATATAAAAAAAAAGAAGGCAGTTAGATGACAACAAGGGAATCACATATCTCTTTGATCTGGACTATGAATCTGATGAATTCACAGTGGATGCAGGTCCATATGGAAATGTGTCTGATTTTGTGAATCATAGCCATGACCCAAATCTTCAGGTGTTCAATGTTTTCATTCATAACCTTGATAATCGTCTTCCCCGGATAGCATTATTTTCCATGAGAACTATCAATGCTAAAGAAGAGCTGACTTTCGATGATCACATGAAATGTTCTGGAGATATATCTTCAGAGTCTATTGAGCATACCCCAGCCAAAAAGAGGGTCAGAATTGTATGCAGATGTGGAGCTGTGACTTACAGGGGTTATCTCGACTGAAGTTTCAGAAACCCAAACTGACAGGAATTATAGTCCTATTTTTTCCTAATGGTAACATCTGTAAAGAATGTTGAGACTCTTTATTATCAAGATTATATCTATATAAATGCACGTTTCAAGACACTTGCCAAATGCATTTCAGATATTTCTGAAGGTAGGGACACTGGGCCACATAGCCTAATTTGAGATATATTTATTTAGTAGTTAGACACCAAACTATTTACCAGTCAGCACACTCATACTTATCTGTGAAAAGAGAAATGCCTATTTCTGTGTTTGAAAAGTGTTAAAGTGATAATGCAACAGCTGCTAAGCTCAAACATTCAACTTAGCATACACTTTGAATTCAGAGAAATAGTTCATTCAACTCAGGCAAATATATAAGTTCTATTTTTGTTACTTTATTGTCATATCTATTTAATACTCACTGTATTTGTACTTGAGACAAACAGGTAATTCTGAATTTTATAACCAGTTTTCTACTTTTTCACTGAAACACTGACATCTTAATGATAGGGAAATTTAAGGTACAATAATAAATAAAAATTTCAATGAAATAAAACACATAACAAATGTTACCATCTCAGCCATTTAAGTATACTGTGTAGTACTATACACACACACACACACACATACACATTGCTATAGGATAGAACTGAACTTTTTCAGGACCAGCAATTGGCATACTGGCTAAGTCACTGGACTCCCATGTAGTTGACTGAGGTTCAAATCCCAGACCCGGTGGCTTAAACTCACACCAGGTGTGCGTGCGTGTGTGCCCATTCTCCTGAGAGGAGAATGGAGGAGAAGGGATTGCAGCATGGCCACCCCCCGGGGAGTGATTTCTTGCTTTCTGTCTTTGTCTCTGTCTTTCTGACAAGCGCAGGTACCCTTTAGCAAAAACCTCTCCAAAAAAAAAATAAAAGATCTGAACTTTTTCAAAATCTTACATATCTGAAATTCTCCGCCCATTAAACAACTCCTTTTCCCAACCTCCCTGAAATATTCCTGTAGGACTTTCATGTACAAAGTTTACAGAGTTCAATCTTTTTTTTTTTTTTGTAGAGGTCTCTGAAAACACAAGAAAAAAAAATAGTAAAGGCCATATTTTCCTAAGAGGCATTTTATTCTCCTGTCTAAGTGAGTGGCTGTCAGAAAGCTCCTGAGTGACTTCAGGTCTTTAACTAATGACTCTGACCTGGAGTCGTGGCGGGGAGGTGCAATGCCTTCTGCTTGTTTGTGTGTTTTAGGAGAACTTTTAGAAATGGTTTTAGGAGATAAGAAGGCCATAGTGCAGTGGGCTCCTCCCCCGCTCCGGAAGCTAGCATTCTGTCCCTCGCAGCTCAGATACTGATCACCTGGCCTGCCCTGCTGTGCATTCTCCCCACAAGGGAAGACTCTCTCGCTGTACCGGAGGTTGCTGTTCCTGCCTTTCCCTTCCTATCTCTAGGGAGTGTGAGCAAGCGTCATAAACTGGTCTCACGTGCGCATCAGAGTACTTGCAGCTACCTGTCTGTTCTGGTTCTGTGTCTTTGCTTTCTTTCCAAACTTAATCAGGGCTTAGGAAACATAAAAGTATCTTTTCTTTTTCTTTTACTTTTTTTTTTTTTTTTTAGAGAGGTTTTTGCTATAGCGTGCGTGTGCTCGCCAAAAAGACTGAGAGACAGGGAGACAGAGAGCGAGAAATCACCCCCCTGGGGGGATGGCCACATCGCAATCCCTTCTCCTCCATTCTCCTCTCGGGATCTTGGGCACGCACGCACACGCACCCGGCATGAGTTTAAGCCACTGAATCCGGGACTCGAACCGCAGTCGACTACGTGGGAGTCCAGAGACATAGCCATTATGCTAACTGCTGGTCCCAACATAAAAGTATCTTTAAAATGAAAATGCGTATTTTAAAAAATCTATATTCAGTTTTTTAAAAAAAATTGCACCAAAAATTTACTAGTACTTTAATTCCATTTTTTTTATTAGCTACTCAGAGAGTAGTTGTTTTCATGATGATTTCAAATGTATCTTAAGAAGTGCCATTATTGCAGTAATACTATTTGTTTCATTAACATTTTTTTTCAAAGTTGAACTTAGTTCTTCCATGAGGGAGACGGAGAACGGGAGAGAAAGGGAGAGCGAAATCACGCCCAAAAGAATCTTGATGCAGCGAGACACTCCCAGCCTCAGCCAGCCTGATCATAGGCTCGATCTTCCACGTCAGTCTGGCGTATTCACACCTTCCGTAGTCAGCGGCCTACAGGACACCTTGTTGTGGGACAAGCCTGGAAGCTCAGAGACTAGGAAGATACCTTTGTGTGTTTTGTTAGATTTTCTTTCTTTTTTTCTTCTTAAGGTCCGTTTCACATCTTCCTTCCTCTCATTCTTAGCCATGCAGTTCTGGTAGCGCTCCCCACTTCTGCCTCTGTGGACACGTACGTCACTCAGGAACGTGCAGAGTGCACGGTATCCCGACCATGGGATTGTGTGAGCCACGGCGCTCACATCGTCTTTCTAGCTAGGGCCCTGGGACTTGTCATATCCTCCTGGACATGGGCATGCAGAGCAAGGGCCAGAGGCAAGTGCCATAATGCAACTTTTGGCTACAGAGTAACCCAATCAAAGAGAATCAATGTGAACCGATCATGAGGGACACTTGCTCAATCTTATTGCCAGGAGAGCTAGGAAATTCCATACTGGGCTGTTGGAAAAGTCATGACACATTTTTGTATAGAGGAAAATACATCATGACTTTTCCAACAACCTAATATAGTATATATAATATAATATATATA